ATTTATTGAATCAATCAAGGATTGTTTAGAAGATGTGGCATTGCATGGAAAATATTTAAATGATAAAAATTTAAAACATTTTGATCGTCTAATTGATGTTCTTGCCGATTATCAACGACAAAATAAAGCAGAATTAGCCGATAATCCTCATCTTCTAGGATTATTAGATATTATTATTAAATGTCTTAGTTCACAATATTATCAAAATGCATTTAAACAATTAAAATTGTCAGCCAAATCAATGATGGGATATGAAAAATTATTTCTTGTTAGGTGTCCAAGTTATTTCACATCGTATGAAGGTAAGAATAGTTGGATTTTTTATTGAAACTAGAATCCCGGTAAAGATTAGTTGGACTTTTCTTTAACACAATCTTGTTTTCTCAATTTCTTTCTTTCTTTTTGTAGGTAAACATCAAGAATTGTTAACGGGTACTTTATTAGATATCATGTTGCCTCGTTATGTTGAAATATTTGCAAAGTTTATTCCATCAATAAGCGAATGGAACCGTTCGTTGATTCGTGCAGTTTATCATATAACCGATGTTCTTAATCATGGTGCTAGTATATCTTCGTCATGTTCAAAGAAGATTGGTGAACATTTATCATTAATTGATAGTATCATAGCCATTTTAAATGAACCATCATTAATCAAAAATATCGATGAAAAATTACTTAAACCTGAAACTATCCTAATAAATAGTGCAATTGTCCTAATGACAAATTTAATTTATGAAACTACAATTCTTGGTCACGTTAAACAAAAGCAAGTGACATCAACGTTTCTAACATTAACAAATTCCAAAAATGATACAATACAATTAAATGCATATATGATGTTGGCATACATTATGAATGAAGATGATTTGAAAAAAATGACAAATCCAGGCAAAATTCTATCAGCAATAACAGATATTCTTAGACGAACACTACAAAGTGGTGATGGTCAAGAAAGAAATAATAAAATCGATTTATTAACAGCAAGTTTAAAGGGTAAGCATTATTGTTATTCTTTCAAAGCGTATTTATCCATTGCTAGAATCTTATAATGGCAGAAAGTGTATCTAAATGGATAAGGTTCGTGAAATTGCATCAATCTAAATAGTTTTTATAGGGAACAGAATATTTGTTCAGCAAAATAGATGAAATGGTCAGTAAAAGAATATATAAATGATCAGTATAAATATTGAATGGTCATTACTAAAATGATCAGTAATTAATTGTAAAATGGTCAGTTTATTATATATAATTAGCATTAAAAAAGTACTGTTTAATTTACTGATATCTTTATCACACACACACATTCATTCATTGTCCCAATTTTATTCTGACGTAAATGTTTGAACCTTTTGAATAGTCAAGGCTCACAACGAAACATGTAGAACAAAGAAAAGCGCTTATAATGTTTTTCAGTTCCCGCGAACTGACAGTATTAATATTGATATTTGTTGAAAAAGGCAGACTATCAGTCCCTTTAAAAAGTGTAAAGGATGCATTAAAGTTTTACAATTAAAGATTTACTAAATTTTTTCTTGAATAAAAAATGAATAGACAACAGTCACAGTTGTGACACGTATCGCATCCCCCTACTACACTCGTTTTCGCTGTATTACTCTAACGGTTAAGGTTAATGATATCACACTCGACTAGCGACTTTTTATGCAGAATATATAGAGATAAGATAGACCGTTTAAAATATATATTTATGTCAAATCTAATACGTTTGATTCTGTAATGCAAGATCTCCCTTTACTATATCGGAGTATAATCTATTATTATTATATCGATTATCATCACGATTATCGTCACGACTATCATCACAATTATCATCACGATTATCATCACGATTATCGTCACGATAACAGATTATATCCCGATAAATATTACAAGTATCGCGATATTTTTAGACGTTTGGACTAATATCCCGATTTAGAGTTCTTTAAATTGCTGTTATTGAAATAAAAACACTTCTGTAATGTACACATCTTCATATTTTACCTTATTTTATCAAAAGTGTTTTATAATTTTGATATTTAGACTCGATTTGTTTGTACTAAATAAATTTTATTTTACAACCGATTTTTCCATTATAGAAAAGCGCAAGTCTTGGAAACTTGAACTGGTCCTTACTACGTGCCCGATCTTTTCTAAGGCTTGAGCTTTTCTATAATGGAAAAAGCAGTTGCAAAACAAAATTTATTTAAAAGTATTCTAGTGTATCAGTACCAGAATCATAGGCATAACGCTAAAGTCACCCTTAGCTTCCCATGCTAGTGTAGAATCGAACTTTGTTTAAGAAAGGTGAATTATATCTTCGCTACAACAGGGAAATCAATTAAATAATGAATTTCATCCATGTGAGTGATTTATACCACAAAAATAAAGAAATTATTGTTAATGAAAAATTCTCAAGATTTTCAAAGGATAAACTAAGCATAGGTCTCAATAGACTTTTATATGGCAGAGTGAGAAGTTACGAGACAGGTACTACATATATTTCTAGCGATGTACCTGATCGAAGGATAAAACGGTAGCACTATGTGTGATAGATAAGCACAGATGTTCGAGCCACTGTACTAACCGGCCCATGTTATTATAGGTCACTTATTGTCTTTGCAAAATGTCAGGAAGCACGAGCGGATTCTATTATCCTATATATAATTTTACCTCGATTAATTTTCTTTACATTAAGACATTTTTTATTTTGTTAAGGGCTTGTTCAACATGATCAAATTAAAGAAGAAATATTACATCAAAATTTACTGCAACTCATCATCGATTGTTCTCTGAAACTGGTTGGTCCGGCTAAACAATCATCACTGGAAACACTATGGGCAATGACGTTTAATGAAGCAGGTGCAGAAATACTGAAAAACAATAAACTATTTTTAGATAACATTAAAGTATTCACCACACAACGAGATGACGAAGGAGTGAGAAAAGCGGCGGATGGATTAATTTGGAAATTGGTTAAAGAGCCAGAATTTATAGCCAAGGTCGAAGAAAAAAAAGAAACAGAAGATGCAACAAGAACGATAACTGAAGTAGTTATTACTGCTGATGGTACAACACAAACAATCACTACCACTGTGCCAGCTGAATCTGCCCAACGGACCTACCTATACGATATGATGATCTCATATTGTCATGCTGACAAGGATCTATGTTATAAAATCCATAAGTATTTGACTGATCAAGGATACAAAATATGGTTAGATTTAGATAACATGTATGGACCAGGTAAAAAACTTCGTTTATTCTCTTCTAAGAACATCAGATGTCGTTTTCTTTTCTATTCTAGCGATGAGTGCAATGGCTGATGCTGTCGAAAGTTCAGAATTTGTTATAATGTGTATGTCCGATTCGTATAAACAATCAACCTACTGTCAAGCAGAAGCTGAATATGCGTTCAAATGTAAACGTCGTTTGTTACCACTGATCATGACGAAAGGCTATGTTCCAGATGGCTGGTTAGGTTTTATGATCGGCTCACGTATTTATGTTGATTATGGTCGCTTTGATTTTGATACAGCATGTCAAAAACTCCAGAACGAGATACAACTTCAACGAAGTCAATCGTTACCACCAAAAAAACACGCTAATATGGGTGGTCATACATTGCCAGTGAAAACAGCAGTTGAAGAAAAACCGGCGGCATCACCAGAAGTCGTGAAGAAACCAGAAGTCGTGAAAAAACCAGAAGTCGTGAAGAAACCAGAAATTTCTATACCTGCACAACATTTACAACGTCAACCAAAGCATACTTATGCGCAGCTATCGATTGAACGATGGAGTGAGGAGGATGTACTCGATTTTCTTGCAAATACTAAACTTCATTCAATGATGCCTCTTTGTGAAAATATGAATGGAGCAGCACTAATACAATTATATAAAATGTGTAAAGCAAAAGCAAATCAAACTTATCAGCTATTAAATATCCAATTAAAAGAATTGCATCGTACTACGCTTCCTATTGCTGTTTATACACGATTTCTAAGTGAATTTGCGAAATTACAGGACAGCAAGAGAAAACCATCTTTTGCTGCACAACAACAATACATATCCGAATATTTACCCTTCGATATTATCCTTGATTCACAAGCAAATCCTGTTCTTACACTAAAAATGGTCGAAACTTATGGACAGGATATACAAGTACTCGAACAACTGACAAAAAAGAAATTTAGCAATTTGCTTCGTTACTAGCAATCACATTAATCCAAATTCATATGAAAACTCATAAGTTTCTGCACAAGAATTTCAAGAAATATTTTCTTTTAAAAGTTACCTACAAGCATCACTCAACTACCTATTGAAAATATCCTTGCTAATACCTGACACCACTAAGGTGTGAGCTCAGTTTAAGTTCTTTTTATATTTCAAAACAAATCTGCAAACTGATGTATATAAATCGTTCCACTATACATACATATTTCCATATTGTCATTGACTTACGAGAGAACCTCTTGAGATGATAAATCGTTTTTGGACTCAAACTGCCATGGTAAGATAGATTCTAGTGAGCAATGAAAAATCCCAACAGGGTTTACTTTTCTGAGCTTCTGACGTCGAGTTATAAATTTTTTTTCGTTTTCTTCGAAAAACACGATTTTGACAGGAAAAATTTGATTTCTCAGCCAACGCGCTGCGATTAAAGCTCATTTATATTGCAGCTATTAGACATAGCAGTCTTGC